GGTTACCCGATCTTCCCTATGGCTACTCGTACCCCAGCCAGCACCGTGGCGAGGTAGGGATAGGAGTTACTGGAGGCTAAGAGGACCGCTAGTGGGGTCTATTTTATACATGCAGATACGCCAAGTATCAATGGTACGCATTGTCCAGCCGTTTACCAGTCCTGTTGCATATGTATCGTATAAAAATTGCATTTTATGAATATATACGCTGCATTAGTCTTTGTGAGATTATGCTAGGAGAACTCAATAGTATGGCGAGTTTATCGTACGTTGCTCACCGTAATCCCTCCATTTATGCGGTGGGTGATACCGTCGACTCACCGCTATTTCCTTGAACCAATTGAGCTGATTTTCTGTAGATAACTAGCACTAATCACAGATATAAAATAAGCGAAATGGGGTGATGGACAGCCGAAAAACAGCGGTGGGTGGACGGTACAACCCACCGCATAAATGGAGGACTTGCAGTATTTCGTTTCGTCTTCTCTTATACATACACGTCCAAGTCACATTTTAATTTTTTGAAGTAACACAAAGCTACTATAAAACAACATTAATAAAACTCAGGGCGAGGACTGCTTTTCCATTGATGCATCCACCAAAACCTCATTAAGACTAGAATGTGCCTAGTTGGCCCATACTGGAAAAGGTTCTGAAGTTTATATTCTCGATGCTCTTCATGATTGATTTACTGCAAAAAGGTTGTATGACGAACGCATTAAGAACCATTTGAAACCCGTATTTAAGCAACATTAAATACCACTAGAAATTAAATCCACTAGAAAAAGCATCATTCAAGATAGAAAAGGATTCAGAAATACCGGGCAAATTATTGTTTATCTGGATCAAAAAATCCTGTGTTTTTGACAGTTTGGATCACTGAACATTAAAATCGGCCGTTTACGATTTTCGGGCATAAGTCAGAATTAAGTGTCATGTCGGTTTGTCGGTGATACGACAGGGGTGGCGTACACTCAGAATAATTTTCACGTCAATGTTACGTGAAAACATACGTAGATTTTTTCCATCGTACTTTTCACATAAGATTCTCATGTAGGGGTACTCATTTCATGAAGCTCAACCGTCACAGGATTATCACATAGAAGTTACGTGATTTAGTCGGTTATATTCATTGAAGGATTCTAGTACACTGAAAACGTATTTTCGTTATATCTCTGAAAACCGTTTCGTAAAAATGAATATCGTACATATATCACATTTTTCATAAATGGTACGAAACATTCGTTTTTCCTGTCATCTAGCGTATAGTCAATATTACGCCTTATTCGTATAATATACAAATACATCTTCGTACAGTCAAACCAACAACTGCGCTTATTGTCTCCTAAAGTGCTGATTGTGTGTGGGAGATGGGATATTTTTTTTTAGAAATATTGTCGGTTTGACCAATACATGTAAGCTACCACAATAAATCAAATTACTCGTCGCGGTGGTTTTATGTTAGAGAAAAAAAAATACATGCAAGCAGCAGAAGAAGCAAGCGAAATCGAATAACCGTTCCATGAGAGCTCTTATTTGCCTTTAGCTTTACTGTTTCTCGTAGCACAGATAGAGTGATGGATTAAGCACAGATCTGACGATCGCAAGGTTCATGAGTCGAGTCAGTCTGAAGGCTGTTTTTATTTTTTTGTCATGTTTATTCCTTCCAATGACGAAGTTATTTTTACCCATCCTCACTAACACACTCCACATTTTTCGGTTTCCACAACCAACACTTGTGACCCGCTGGTTGGGTGTAGCGATAGCGAGTGTGGCAGTTCTAACGAAACTAGCTTCATACAATGTACAAATCCATTTCGTTGCAGAAAACAACGAATAAATTCGTAGAACAAACGAGCGATTTCGTTGTATAAACGAAATTTTATTTTCAGTGTATAAATATTTTGACGCTGTTCATACAAATATTTCCTTAATATGTAGATTAAATCTTTACCGTATTCATAGTAGTAAAATATAATAATATTCCTTTAATTTATTCATATATGCTAAATTCACTATATCAGATTTTTTTAATATTCTATACGAAGCACAAACAATCTGGACGATCATGGGGATGGGCCGAGGTACTTTCTTCCTTAGCGGAAGAAATTGCTGGACAGCTTTTTTTTTCCTTTGGTTTGTTTTTTCCGTCGATCTTGTTTTCCGTGCTGAGCACCAATGCTACCGACGTGCCAGGAAGGCAGCTCCCACACCTGGACCCTACCTATCGACCCATCAACTCATGAACCGGGGACCAACGGCTTTACTTCCCATCCGAAGGAAGGCGTGATCAGAGATGTTATGCCTCAGAACATCCCGGCGGCGCCGACTGGGATTGAACCCAGGCCTGCTGGGGTGAGAGGCAATCATGCTTACCACTACACCACCGGCGCCGTTAGCTGGACAGCTTGAAATCATTCTGTTGAGCACGATGAAACAGTCAGTTTGTTTTTTCAAAGAGAAAAAATAATCCATAATTTTATACTTATATCTTGCCACTATTTTTCAAAAATACCGAACAAAGGATATCGTGATGCTGCCATGATTTGCAATGCTCTGAGTGTACCTAGGTACCACTCTTTTTTAGATGTGGAAATCACATAAGCTTTACGTGAAACGCACATAGACTCAGTGTTATGTGAAAATCACGTATTTTTCATTGATTATGTAGGAGTGTTAAAAAGGAACTCCATGTGAAATTCAAGGAACATCACATACATTCTACGTGAGCCACATAAAACTGAGAGGAGAGGAAAAAGTGAGAGCTTACGTTATTTTTCACGTAGCTTCAACGTGTAGATTATTTTGAGTGTAGTCAGTCGATTCCCGTTCCATTGGAGGACAGCACATTGGTTCGCAGACGATGAAGAATTCGTGGAAATTAATAAATATTTCCTGGGAACGGAAGTGCGGCCGATTATGTGCACTGTGATCAGCTACCAAATAATGCCGAAATTATTAGACAAGGAGCGGATTTTGGTGGCGGTGGCCAGCAAGATCATCAAGGAATGACTTACTTCTCGTGTGAAATCCATTTTGATTAAACGAATTTTAATTTACAATTATTAAAACCAAAAACAGTCAAAACAAAAAATAAAAAACTGCCAGACTAAGTATAAGATTCGCAAATATCACACATATAAGAATATTTAATATTTCCACCATCGGTATTGATGCTGATACTTGGAGCTGTCCTTCCCCTAGGCGTAGGTTCCATAGAATAACTTCTCACAAGTCAGTAGATACTTAGAATGCACGAAATGAATTATAAAAATAAAAGTTTACCGCCTGGCATCAAAATTAACGTGCAAGTTTCCACAATTTCCGAATATTTTTTAACAACAAAAATACCCTCACTGGGGCTTAGGGGTCAAAGAAATACAACTGTCATCCGAACATACCTAATTTTTTCGGAGATAAGCTTGCATGCAAGTTGCAGCACTGATTTTAATCATAGTATGCCTGATAAAATTTTGCTACCCTGGACATTTAAACAAACAAATCAAATTGGCTTAAAAAGCACTCTGAATGCCCCATATGAGTGAATACGACATTCTTTCAAGTGTCCATCGTGTGCTGTTGTGTTTCTTCGAAGAAATTGTATCATCCTCATATTGTGTCTTTCACGAATATTTAGACTATAGAGACGAAATTGAGGGAGCTCGTAGATGGTTCAAATGTCAAAAGCTACCACCTTTCCCTATTTACGTCATGTGTCTTGATCATTAAAATTTTGTAAATAAAAGAAACGTCAGTTAACATCGATGTTCAACTAAAAACGTAACTATTTCATAAATACTATTGCGTAAAATAGCAGCTATTATTTCCGTTGTGAAAGATCAGAGAGCGTCAGTGAATACCATATATCATGTTTTATATGGATATTATTTCCTTGGATTGGCCAAATCGAGGCTAACAACAATTTATCACAAACTCAAGTCCACAATCACAAATTGGATCATGCGATACGAGGAGGACGGATTCTATTCTCGCCGAAGTTACGAAAGGGATGCTGTGAAATTCTCTCCCGAAAAACGACAATGGTTGATAAACCTGTATCTACAAAATCCTACGCTTTATCTACATGAATCTAGAAAGCGGTTCCAGCAGGAGTTCAAGACGACAATATCTATTTCATCCATTTGGCGCATCATACATAACGCTGGTTTGACCTGGAAATGTTTGGAACGTCGTGCAATTCAAATCAAGGAAAGTGATGTAATCCGTTTTTTTCAACGAAATTTCGTGCATTCAGTGGGACTACCACAACCTCGTCTTTTTAGACAAGGTTAGTTTCGATAACAGATCCATGTTACGCTCCAGGGGCTACGGAGTTCAAGGCCACCGCTTAGTGTTTCGAGGAGAATTTGTGCGGAAGCCTAGGGAATCCTTGCTTTGTTTCATTGGGCAAAACGGAATGCTTGAAGCCTTCTCTACCAACGGAACATTCAACCGACTAAACTTTTTTGAATGCTGCCGACGATTTGCTCTGGAAACGGGCCATGTTCAGTGCTATACGGGTAGACATTCCATATGGATATTGGATGGAGCGAAAATTCACTGCAGTGCGAAAATCATAGAATATCTTCGATCAATTGGAATATTCCCTATCTTTCTACCTGCGTATTGCCCCTTCTATAACCCTATTGAAGTCGTTTTCGGATTATGCAAGCGACAAACTCAAGCTATCTATCAGGAATGTGTAAAGAAAGGAATTAAACCAGTAGTAGCTGAAGTGATGGCTACCTTTAGAAATTATAACATGTCTAGCTTATTCAGGAAGTGTGATTACCTGAGAGGAGGAAAATTTGATCCTTCGGTTGCAGATGTGTCTGATTTCAAGAATATTGAAACAGACGAATGAAACATAATCAATGCAGAAAAGTTCTAATTTCTTTGATCTTTCGTATTTGAAAACCAATAAAATAGAAAATATAGTAAAACAATGTATTTGTCTTTATTCATTAAAACAAGTTATCTCAACTCATTTGCAAGTTGGCTTATTCGTGGTCTACATCCTCCATGTCAACTACCTGTCCAGCAATATGTCGACTGAACTCTCCTTCGGAAACTTCCATTGAAGTTTCCATCGCACTTATGAATGAATCACTCATGCGTCCACGCTGCTCCAATGCTTCGATGCGATGCTTCACGAATGAAAGTTGTAGCTGCATATTCTTGGCTACCACCTCAAGTGAGGAAAACGCTTCCTTCAGCGCTGTGATCTCTTCACAAAACGACGCATTTACATTGTGAGCTACAGCCAACCCACGCTTCACACTTTCAATTTTCGGACCGTCCTGTGTTCTGAAAAGATGTTGCAGATGCTTTGGAGGAACTGAATTAATCATGTTCTCACTCGTATGAGCTGGCGAAGCAAGTATGGCTGATGCCCACATTAAGAGATGAACTAGCCTCAGGCTAAAAATCTCTAAAATAAAGATTTAAAAAAAAAAAAAAATGATGCCCACATTGTCCATGCCATTTCGTGTCCATCCCAAAGATGACCATGTCGTTGACGCAAATCCTTAGATAAATCGACGACCACTTGGGTTGAGGCTGCTCCTGCCTTATCGCGCTCAGATGGGTCAATCAAATGTTGCTTCACTGAATTGAAAATCTTACGGGAACTTACGGACAGTAAATAAACATGCAACAGCAGCTGAATTTCTTTTCCTTTCCAGTTCTGAAGCAACGTGGTGGTCAGTTTGTCCAGCGAAGTGTACTTACGATTTTGTTTCTCGTAAAAAATGGCAAACCTCACCAAATCTTCTTCTTCCGGAGAATCCTTATCCATCCATGCTGGCACCGTGCTTCCATCGTCTTGCTGATTAAAAATTACTTCTCGAAGTAGATGTGGTCTGCATAGCTCCCATAATTTCGTCTTAAAGTCATTGAGCGACTTTCCATCTACATTCCAGTGTGCAATATGAGCTCCGAAGGACTGACCTTTAAATTCACGCAGAAACACCAGCAGTCGACAGTTGAACAACGCTGGAGATTTGTTTCCTTTCGGCTGAGTTACGTGCTCAGGTGCATCAGGCTGCTCATGGCTTGGATCACTGTCGGGGTCGCTCCAGTCATAGTCGAGAACCTGAACGTCTTCGAATAACGGGTCATCGAGTTGATCCGCCATCGGGTCTTCGTTCTCATTGCCATCCTCCTTGGCTACATCCTCACCATCATCGTTACGGGATGCCCTTCTGGAAGCCATTCGTTCCTTTTGCAGAAGGTTCCTACAAAGATGATATTATTACATCGGTTGAATTTTAGTTTGCAAATCACCAATCTTACGAATTTTGTTGTAAAACAGTTAAAACAGTTTAAAATAAATCACTTAAAAGCTAACTTTTCGAGCGGCTTCAAAATTTCACGAAAAACAAACAACAACAAACTTTTTTTCATTTTTTTTTCACTCGATTTCCATTCTGTCAACAATGTTTAAGATGTACGTAGAAAGGTGAAAGAAGTGAGAGCGAAATCGATAGCGAAATATCGTCACGACGAAATTGATATCGGTCGAGTCTAAATGAAGAAAAATTTCGCAATATCGAATAAGAAAACCTAAATGTTTGTTTACCTTTCATTCAGCCAGGGTGACAAAATTTCGTCAGGCGTACTATGATTAAAATCAGTAGTTTAACTTGCATGCAAGCTTACATCCGATTTTTTTTCGTAGCAAGTGAATCGTTAAACTCTGAAATATCGTCAAAACCTGAGGGAGAGTCACGAAGAGAGAAAAATGGAACGTCAAATGCAGCCAGACGACTATTGTCACGAACTGTCATTGGAAGCCAAGCAATTTTATGATGCTTTTCGTACAGTTGGCAGAATACACAAGGCGGTATTGAAATCTTGCGTAAAACAATTTATGACAAACAGTTGTTTCCACCTATTTTATTCAATGGGACACCGTTTCTTTTTAATTCATTCAAAATACACACAAATCAATATCTCCATCCATCAATTAAGGTTTTGTCAAAACATCTAGTAGCGTAATAAAATACCAAACAGAAAAGTACAGTTTCTCACTGCACGCTGAATAATCTCAAACAATCACTACACGCTCAAAGCAAAACACGCAATTTTGCTACACCTGTTTTGATTTGATTTCAATGGCATAAATTTTCATGACAAGTAGAACAAGTCAAGAGCAAATTTTCATTACGTCGAATATAACAAAGGTAAACAAAGTCGAGCTATCAGTGTCAATCGATTCTCCTGCTATTACACTATATACTGTCCGAATATAGGATCAAATCCCATTTTTAAATTTATTTACCAGTCAAATTGCTTTTTGACGTAATCACCTTCCGATCAAAATAGTTTTCGATGTTACTTAAGTCACCCAATTTCTATGGAGATGCCGTTTGACTTAAGTAACAGCGCTGAGAAACCCGTGAAAAGTGTACGTTCGTCGTTTCGCTTTCTCATTATTAAAGTGAATAAATCGAACTATTTGTTGCTAAGATGATTTCGGTGGTCCTAAAATGATGAATGGGCTGCACGTAAGGAGACGTAATTGATAATTCTCCCGAATATCCTGGTAAATACACTTTGATTTAAGTAACAATACGGGCCACCAAACGACGTATAATAACTTTTGACTCAAAAACCAGTATTTCTTAGCATGAAAGCTAGCGATTTGCCTTTGTATGATTAAAACCCGGCTGAATATGTTAAACATTGCAATCACTATGAGATTATATGTGTTTAATTGGAAATAGGAATAACTTTTCAGTCATCAAAACAAAACTTTATTTTTCTCGGATCGGTGCGAATGTTACTTACGACATAATGAAAATTTGCTCTTGAAGTATGCAATGAATTCCGTGTGTGCTATCTACTTCTCCCTCTCAGGTTGTGCAGTTCCTACACTGAAAAAAGTTTTCACTTAGTTTCTATTAGGAACGCACATAGTATTTTTCCAAAAACAAAAACAATGATTTTTACCTGAATATCACATAGCATTAGAAATTCTATATGAGAAATCATATAAATTTCATTGGACAAATAACGTTCATGTGATTTAGTGGTGCAATGTCCAATTATGGGATCACATGAAAGTTATGTGAAATTCACATGGATATTTTCCACTGGTTATGTGATTTATTTTATGAGTGTAATCCAATTGATATCAACAGTGCACATCAAAAAACAAAAATACATAAAAGTTACAAACTAAACACAGGAATAATCGAACTACAATCTAAGGTTAAAATTCTTCAAGAAAACATTTATGAGTTTCATTAAAAAAAGTTATGAGCTGCATTTTCTGAGAGTGGTACTAAAGCCTTTCACTACACCTCGATTTTCGCAAAATCTGACTGTGCGACTACTGGTCAAGATTAACATATGAATTAATCACCAAAATTAGCGACTAATGAAGGCGCATGATTTAAGTAGCACTCTGCCTGGACCTGCCAAATCGGTGTTGATAATATTGTCCCGCGATGAACGTATATTAAGATGGGGGTCCATATGGTATGCTACGAACCGTCCCAGTACCCACATCATCACCAACCATACGTGATGATGCCCGCAGAAGTCAGTAGCCCATCCGAAGACCTTCCATTTTTTTCTGGTCGTTGTTTTGTCCATTTTCAGTAAATCTTGCTTTGTTCCGAGCCGCGCACTCACAACAAAGCACCAGACGACGACGAAACAAAAAGACGACCATAAAATCCAACTACCCAATAATGGCTTTTCGTACATACACTACCTACACTTTAGTGACGACGAAGCCGAGCAAAACGACGGATCAGAAGAGCGGTGGCCGGTGAGTGTGTGTTTTTAAAAGTGATTACAACCCATACGGAGCGACACAATGGTGGGCGGATATTAAAATCGGACTCTTTTGAATGGAGAGTTTTTCCTTTTGCTTCACCCGTTCAAGCGGCGCAGAAGTGAAGAAGCATAAAGTTCTACACCCTGCTGCTGCCGTTGAACGTCACCGTCGTCGCTTCCGCAGAGGAGTACAATCAAGATGGCGTTCGCTACCCCCGCAAGACAATTGCCGGGATGTTTTATTGTTATTGCTGTCATTACGTAATTACTCGCAATATATCGAACAGGCAAGAGATGGGTGATTACAAATGGAGTTGGAATTGAAGTTGGACTTGTACGGAATGAGAGAGCGACAGAGAATAAGGAAGCTCCCGAAAAGTCCCGAACGCTGAATCACCCCATGTGCATGTGCTTGCGAGGGGATCGTTAATCAAAGTAAAGCCATAACATCGAGTTCTAAACTGGAGAAAGATTGAAGATTGCGAGTTTGCGATAGGCTTTTGAGGGAACATAGTTTTTCAACGATTGCCCGTCGTCGCCAACGCCGATCGGTTTGCTGCAAGTGGTGCTGTAGCAAGGTCAGTGAGTTGCCATGCACGGAAAATGCTAACTCTTCAACGGTAACAAAACACCGAAATTTTAATCATGCAAATTGTTTTATTAACTGAAAAGTTGTCTCATGCTCAAAAGCCCTCGGATTTTTTTTAATAGTTTGAGGGAAACTGCTTGAATTTTCTTTAAATATTGTAAATAACTTTACAGAATGTTCGCACACAGTTTATTTTCCGTGTACTGTGTGAGCATTTTGCTCAACACATCCCAACAACAGTAAGAAGCCAAGCAGTGTGTAATGACAGTATTTATTACCATCAGCATCGGCTACCGGAATGGAAGATAAAGTAAGTAAGCAAGAATCAATTACTAGATTAGTACCCTGTGGCTCTTTCGACGACTGGCTCGGCTCGGGAGCCATCGAGGCCTAAGATTAATACGGTACCGAGCCATTCCGCCAGTGCCGCAGCCACCACCATCACTACAGTACAATCGACACAATTTACTAGTACATCGCGCACAATCTCACAAAGTAGGCTTTGATAACTATCATTGCGCGCAGTCTCCTCATTTCAGCGCAGAGCCAACCAGGCAACCAAGCATCCAAGGAGCCACGGATATCTCCCCATCGCTATCAGGCATCCGATATAAATAAGCAAAAATTATTATTATAGGTTATCCCGTGCGTGTTCCGATCGGAATAGTGGTATATTTCTCTCCTGCGGACCCTCTTCTGCCATCCCTTGAAGCTCATTGGACAACGTGTTCCAGGCTATGTAGGAAATTATCACAAACGCCACTGGAATTACTTTCAATAACCGGCGGACTCGAAATCATGTTTTACATTTGTTCGACTGCTGCTATCACAATCGGGATTGTTTCTATCCCAGTAGCAGCAAATCGATATCGATGCCATTCGATCTCGCTGCATTGCAGCCCGACCACCATCGTCTCCCACCGTTGCTGCCGCCGTCCCGTCTACAAAGTAATTACTCGCACCGAATTCCAACCATTCCCGAACAACAACGCCAAACAGGATGTTACCAATCAACCGAAAAAACTGCTTCCCATCTACCTGGCCCATCTGCAGCTCAAATTGAATTTCCATCGAAATTCTTCCGAATTACGTTTTTGGGCTCCAACCAGCTCGCTGCCTCGGCCAATTTCTGATAAGATTCCATAATCATAATTTTAAAAATTTTAATTTCCAGTTTGCTCCAATCCCGAAACCTCATCTGGTCCTTTCGCGGGCATGGATGGCGATGCTGCAGTGGAGATTATGGTGCACGGCGCAGATTGCCGTAGCTACCGGTCGTAGTCGTTGCGAACCATCCATGCCATGAATCAAAAAGCAACTTCGCCGAGCCTTCTTCATCGATGATGATGATGATGATGATGCACGGCCGGTGGGAGTACCTCAAAATTGAGTCGAATTCGACTGAAAATTGCAAAGGTGGGGCTACTCAGTGAGTATGTAAAATTTTCCTACTTTTCCTCGGCTCGACGAATATGAGGGGAATCGATTCAATTTTCCAGCGTAAAACTTCCATCGATTTATCTCATATTCGAGCCAATTTTTGTGGATAATTTTGAGCTTGAGTCGAACTCGACTCAATTTAGAGTTAGTCTCATCAACCGTGTCATGGGTTTGTCCTGCCGAAGAAGGAGAGGGGTTACGAATTTATAGCACCTTGTGCACGGAGAGGCTTGCAGAATGTGGTGTAAATACGTTTGCTACTGCTTGTTTGGATTCGAAAGGAATGGGATATGTAATCTGAGACAATTTGAGTTATGACGTTACCATCATAAGGAGAGGTTTGATTCTACTACAGTTAAATTTCCTTAATATTATATTTAAGAAGCCAAGGAGCAAAA